GATCTTTTTCCTTGTCAGCTACTTGAAGAAGAGTTCATCAAGGGGAATGCACAGGACATTTTTAAAGGCTGGATTTGGGATACCTAGGGCCAGGGGTGAAAACATTTAGCTTTATTTGGGGGGGAATTTATTAATCTGTTCTGGGATTTGCTTAGCTTTATTCAAGGGATATTTATAAATCTGAAGTCGACATTATCTATCTATCTCTAATACATATACATACTATATATACATAATAGCAACAAGATCAAACTAGATCCATGAAGAGACTCCTCAAGAGATCTTCCATTCCATTTTGAGCTGCATGAATTGTTTCACTTGGAATTGGCTCTATTTATTGGCTCTAATTGGCTCAATGGGTTACAACCCTTTGGGTGACCAACCGAGAAGCACACCAGGCGCTGGCGCAGCATCATTTCTTCTTCAAGCAGGTGCCACTCTTCGGCCCTGTGCTGGGTGCAACCACTGCCAACCTCGTACCATACACCTATCCCTCCTGCATGGAGGCCCAGGCAGAGAGAGGCAATGCGTGGTCAAGAATCAAGAACCTCCCTCCTTTGCTAAGTTTTGCATACTGCTTGGACAACTGGACATGCTAGGAAACAACAAGTTTGCAAGGCATTATTATTCTTTTAAGTCCGACAAGTTAAGGACTATCAATGACTATAAGACTATAAAGAGCATCCGACAAAGCTTCCATACATATACTTTGGTCATGAGTCATGAGCTGCCTAAGTATTTCTGGATTGATCAAAACCTTGCATAACCGCTGGGGGCCAACCCTAAATATTCTTGGCAGTGGGGACTACAATAGTATGCTACGCTTCAAGCATCATCAAGCACACTTTCAAACGCCTTGTCGTCGTCTATGCGCAAAATTGTGGCTCTTGGCTGATTGAGGCTGGGGCTTCGTGTTCCCATGGAACAACGAATTCAATGATTTGACGCTGCAGTCGATTTTCAACGCCGCTTTGTAGAATCTGGCTTTGTTTTCTCAGCCCTCAGTTTAAGGAACACTTCCTCAAAGACATGCCTCAAAAAATTAAGGGCTCCCTTTTTTACCCTCGAACAATTTTTTTCACCCTCTCTTTTTTTCCAACCCTCGAAACCTTTTTTTTTCACCCTCAAGATTCATTTTTTTCCCACCCTTTGGAACCTTTTTTTTCCACCCTTCCAACACCCTTTATTTTCACCCTGCACTCTGTCATTTTCACCCTGTAGCATGTTTCTTTCACCCTTCACCTAGTTTTTTTCACCCTTCACCCTTCACCCTTTCTTTTTCACCCTCAACCCTTTCTTTTCAACCCTCCGCCGGTGAAGCAGGTAACCCATGGAACCTGCACAGAGAACGATGTCACCTCGCTTGTCCCTGCACCTGCCAAACCCTTTGTTTTCACCTCAATAGCTTCTTGTTACTAGCCCTTGGGAACCCTCCAGAAACTGCGTAGAGACTGTCCGGAACGACGGGAACCGCCGGAAACTGACCCGGACGCCTCCGGAACGTGAGGCAGCACAGGATCCATCGGTCCATCCATCCATGCATCCATCCGTCAACGGAGTGCCAACCAACCGACCAACCAACCAAGCAACAACGCGGCCAAGCCAACAACCAACCAAGCAACCAACAAGCCAAGCAACCAAACCACATAACTCCGTGTTTTCCCCAAGTGCTGTAGGTACTAGAAATCCCGTGCGGGGGAGGCTTGGTTTGCATTGCAGGGGAGGCGCTGCGCCCTCCCCATTTACACAGCATCCGTCCATCCATGCATCCATCAACGGAGTGCCAACCAACCGACCAACCAACCAAGCAACAACCCGGCCAAGCCAACAAACCCACCAGGCAACCAACAAACCAAGCAACCAAACGTTTTCCCCAAATGCTGTCGATACTTGCTTTGCATTGGTAGCCCACCAAGCAACCAACAAACCAAGCAACCAAAACGACACAACCCTGTGTGATCCCAAACGATGTCGATACTTGGTTCGCATTGCGCCCTCCCCCGCACCCCCTCCCGCCTTTATTTACACTCCATCCATTTACGCATCCATCCCCGCCACTAATCCACAGACCATCCATCCATCCACCCATCAAACAAGCAAGCAACCAACAAACCAAGCAACCCAAACCACGCAACCCTGTTTTCCCCAAATGCTGTCGATACTTGGTTTGCATTGCGAGAAGGCGCTGCGCCCTCCCCCGCACACCGTCCCGCCTTTATCTACACAGCACCCATCCATCCATCCATCCATCCATCCATCCATCCATCCATCCACCAACCAAGCACACAAACAGAAAAATTGCATATCCATCAAGCACTGTATCACGCAAGCAATCACAGCAAGCAAACCAAGCAACCAACACACCAAAAAGGTTATATATTTGTCCCTGTCCATGATCCATCCATCACTGTATGTGTTTTCCACACCAACCAAAGGAAGGAGAGTAAAAAAGAAAGGGCGGTAGCCCACCAGCAACAAACAAACCAAGCAACCAAACGTTTTCCCCAAATGCTGTCGATACTTGCTTTGCGCATTGGTAGCCCACCAAGCAGCCAACAAACCAGCAACCAAAACCACACAACCCTGTGTTTTCCCAAATGCTGTCGATACTTGGTTCGCATTGTGGGGGAGGCGCTGCGCCCTCCCCCGCACCCCCTCCCGCCTTTATTTACACAGCATCGATCCAGCCGTCCATCCATCCATCCATCCATCCATCCACTGTATCGCGCAAGCAATCAACGGCAAGCAAACCAAGCAACCAACGCACCAAAAAGTTACAATTTTCTTCCTGTTCATGATCCATCCAGCACTGTATGTGCTTTCCCCAAATCCAAGCAACGAACAAGCCAAGCAGGCCGAACCAACCAACACACCAACCAAAGGAAGTGGGATAAAAAAGAAAGGGTAGCAACCAAACCGTGTTTTCCCCAAATGCTGTCGATACTTGCCTTGCATTGGTAGCCCACCGAGCAACCAACAAACCAATCAACCAAAACCACACAATCCCGTGTTTTCCCCAAAGGCTGTCGATACTTGGTTTGCACTACAACAAGCTAGCCAACCAACCAACACACCAAGCAAAGGAAGGAGGGTGAAAAAGAAAGGGTCGAGGGTCGAAAAAGAAAGGGTAGAGGGTGAAAGAAGAAGGTTCGAGGGTGAACAAAGAAGGTTCAGAGGGTAAAAAAGAAAGGTGGAGGGTGGAAAAACAGGGCGGGCTGAAAAAACCGGGTTCAAGGGTGAAAAAAAAGTTGCCCAAAAATTAACTGGGCAAGAGATCCTGGCCCCCACCAAACCGCGCCACTCGGACAAACAGCTAGCAGCCCAGGTCTGCAGCCATCCATTCGTATCTTCCTGCCTCACCTTCACAGGCAGGAATGCCGTCCAAGCATTGGTGCAGGTGGATTTCCGTGTTGATCAAGCACGTCCAGTGAGCTTGTTAATTATGTAGTTGAATCCAATTTTTGCAAGGAACCTCTGCGAATTCAGGCTTGCTCACACCGATATTGGGGTCAGGATTGGATCCGGCGAAAGGTGGACTTGGCCCACCCACGCACCCACCCGCCCACCCACCCCAGCCAGCCCGCCCGCCGGCGTGCGTGTGATTTTATGCGCGTGCAAGATTCCAGTGGGATAGTTGAGTATGGTGAAGAAGTCCATACACCTTTGTTTTACGCATACCTTCAGGAATCTTGAGCATCTCAGATGCCCTGCTTGGAAATGGAAAGCTGCTGCTGCATGTGAATCTCAAACCTAGATCCAGATCATGCACTTACCCGCAGATTATGGGATCCACACTAGCTTGCCTTGAGGTCTAGCGGCAGGCCTGGTCATCCACAAAATGTTGGAACCTGTGAAGCTTTGCATTGAAATTAAACCTTCAAATTGAGGGCCGGATTGACTGAGCCATTGGTTTCCCTCTTACAGAGTTGTGCTCAGGATCTTGGGTGTTCCTGGGTGGTCCTGGCCTTCTTTGGCTGGCTCAGTCCTAGCCGTTGCTAGCTTCGGCTTAATTGCTTTGTAACCAGGCGATGCAACTGTTTGCTAATTCCAATCTGCTTGGCATCCGAGTGATTTTCAACCTGATAGTGACGTGCAGCTAATCTTGTGTCTATTTTGATCTCTTTTGCCTCTCCAAACGGACGCTACTAGGAGCTCCTGGCTTCGCTACTAGGAGCAAGTACGCTACTAGGGGCTCAACCTGAGCACATGTTTGTTTTTTGAATCAAGGTATTCAGCAACGTTTCGAACCACGGTGCCACACCTGGAAGATGCTGACCTAGACAACCCCAAACTCAAAGGCTGGCTTTGGGCTCCTTGGACTCAGAGTCCTTCTTGATAGCCCGAGGGATCAACCTGAGCAAGTGACATTGCAAGTCACGTGGAATCAACATTTACTCAATTTACCCTTTTGCTTAGCTTGATCATTGGTAGTCCCCGATATTGGCCCTTGAGGCCTCAAAAGTGAATTGCTTGGTTTCTCCAGAAGAACTCTGTTGGGACTCCTGGCAGCATTGTATTTTGTCCATTTGTACAAGAAGCATAATTTGACCTTGTCCACTAACTTCATGGACTTGCGACCTGCAATCCGCTGTGGCGGTGCTCTGGCGCATGTGGTTGTGAATGTTAGCTCTGAGGTACCTGGTTTGGACCATAGGACTGGCAGTGTGTGCAGTGTACAGCTCGAGCCAAGTGACGCTTGACACATTTCAGAGACGTGCCTCTCAGATGGAATGCGGTCTTGCTACTAGTAGGAATTTTCTTGCACAAGTAGCGATGCACTTGTTATCGTGATTCCTGATCTGAGGACCTGAGGGAAGAAGGTTTCACCTTCAAGCGAAAAGGACAGCCAGTGCAAGGTGCAAATTTCATGCGCGGAAGGGGGGCAGATATCTATCGAACCTATTTTGGTGCAAAGATAGTTCTGGGGAGCTGACAGAACTATTTTGTTGGGCGTGGTTTTGCCTTCTCTCTATATACAGTGTACTGTATATATATATATAGATATGGTACCTCCCCCAAGAAAAACAACACTTAAAAATAACGGGAGGTAAGGGGCACCAACAAATCTGAATCTGCAATGTGCATGTGGCATCTGATCAAAATGTTAAATGAACATCCTCCTACATCTGATCAAAACAAATATATATTTATATATTCAGAGTATAAACTATATATATATTTTTGTAGCCTGCCAAGGAATTTGCAACCGTTGCTGCACGTGATATTGCAAATTCCCTGGCAGGCTCAAAAAAACAACAGTTTATACCCACCAAAAAGCCCCCATATATAGATCCTAAAACTTTTGATTTGTGTGAGGTTGCCAGCGTTTTGTGACTATGGGCTGTTGAAATTTTTGAGCCTGCCACATTTTTCCAAGGTCGGGTAGACCAAAAATTGCAAAGTCCTTGGCAGCATCAAAAAATAATAGACCCGCAAAAAAAATCCATAGATGCTAAAACTTTTGATTTTGTTGAGCCTGCCAGGGTTTTGTGATTATGGGCTTTTGAAATTTTTGAGCTTTTTGAGCCTGCCAGGGAACTTGAAATCTCTGCTCCATCTGGCCTAGCAAATTCTTCGGCATGCTGACAAGACACAAAAATCTACCATTGCTACGTTCATGGTTTCAGCTCACGCACTGCAGTGTTGTACCATCTGAAACGCAGGCACGCACGCAATCTTTAGCCTGCATTTTAGTTGATTGATACATGTACAACATGTAAAGAGTACATTCGTCACGACAGCTTTATAGGATTACGACTCGAAAACATTTGGCTCAAGTTGGAAAACAGGCGCCCGTGCTGTACTTGTTGTTCAGCTGCGTTTTCCCACTATAATAACTGGTTATCATCCGTACCGGCAGAGCTGCGGCCCTTACATCTTTCCATATTCGTTTTTGGCCTTTTGGGATTAGTCAGAGCCAACCTTTTCCCTTCGAGCCTTTCGAACCTGAACCAATATTTCAACAACGCCTTACGATTTGCCAGGTCAGCCTGTCCTTGAGCTTCAGCCTTCTGTCTGAAGCTAAGAGTGTGACGATCGCAACTGCGACTCACACGACTGGAATAGCTAGGAGCTTGTTTTTTTCTGACTCGCTCGCTGTTCGTTGTCGTGACCCATACCATAGCAGACAACTACAACATAGTAACTAGTGCTGCGTTCGCCGTTTGCGACCAGCAGCACCAGTTTCCTTCCCTCAGATTCGTGCATAGTAAGTGTAAGCGTTCTTTCAGCAGCACAAGCTCAAACCTTTCCGGTCGTCTAGCTAGCTTTCAATAGCGTCGCCAAGACGGCACCAAAATCTGCCTTCGGTCGCCCACGTGGAGGAAAGACAGGACTGCGAGAAGCAAGACGCAGAATCCTTACACCTCTTGGTCGCATTCGTGATCAGATTGCAACCGTTGAGAAGCCCTCCGAGCAAGAGAAAAACTTGTTGCACTCAGTAGTGCGGACCATCTCAGTGGTAGAGAGCTCAGAGAGATTTTTGTTCAGAATCCAACTTTCTGGGAACACGTTCTCTCTGATTTTCTCCCTGTTGGTCAGCAGCAAGACTTGCTCCGACTTGCCCTGCAGATCTTGGACAGCAACCTTCCTGAGGCAGCGACAGCAGCTCGAAGTCGGGCGGCAACAGCAGGAAGAAGGGCCCGCTGCATCATCGTCCTCCAGACCGAGATCCCAGTCGAGATCACCTCTTCCACGAAGGACAGTAGGTCTTCAATCTGACCCAGTGCCTGAGGAACCGGTGAGAATCGGCTTGTTTTTAGATCACCACGGTGTTTTGGACAAGAATTTTGGTGAATCCTCGCACCTTGTGGGTGAACTACAAACTGAGTTTGAAGATCAGTTGAAAGTCTACTGCCTCAGCTACGCCCCATCTGATTGGCGAGTTGCTGAAGTGACTAGATCTGCAAACTACTCAAGAGTGCAGCCAGAAATAACAGGGAACAAGTTTGGTCCTTTTGGCAAACGAGTTCGGCTGCAAACAGTTCTTGAGCGGGACGGTCTTATAGGGGGCTTCTTTGTGGACGATCAAGCAGAAATTGTCCGTGACGTGAGGAATTTAAGTCCTCGTTTCAAAGTAGAGGCTGAAGTTCTGGGACCAAGGGATTCCATTCGAACACTCCTCTCAAGGATCAGGCAGTTCCTATCGGAGAGTTTGAACGCTGAGCACGAGAAAAGAGAAAACGAGTCGCTTGAGGTCTGGGTGAGGGAACAATAACTAGATATCTTTTCAACATACAGCTGCGATCGCATTGCGACCAGTTGAGTCTGAGTTTGAAACATGTCTGGTTTTTCGCCACCTACCTCTAGCTCACTAGCATTGAGTACAAACAGTACTAGCCAAGAGCTTCAAAGTCAAACGCCAGCCTCAGTCAGCGCGGCATTAGTTGAGCCACAGCTTTCACCTTCGTCAAGTGTGAGTTCAGGAAACGCAAAACGAAGAGCTGTAAGTCTAGAGCCAACTAGATCGATGAATGAAACCGGTGCCGGTCCGACTTCCCAAGCTTTGCATTTCCATAGGCATGAAAATGTAGATCAAAGGTCTTTGCATTTGCATGTGTCAAACCCTCAAGTCGATGTTCTCCGTCAGGAAGCTTCACATGTCATCCAAGGGGTTCAATCTCATGCCATGCAGGAGGTAGCAAGGGCTAGTTTGGAAGTTGCTCACCTGCACCAGCAGGCTACCAATGAGGTTCAACGGGTTCACCAACAAGCTTCACAAGAAGGGATGAACAGATAGCCGAAATTTTCACAGAAACTTGTTGAGCAACAGAAAGGTTTAGAACGCACGTTACAAGTGGCAGAACAACAAGCACAACAGCTTAGAACCTTGCAGCAAGCGAACGAAGATTTGCAAAAGAGCCGAAATAGCGCGGACCCAGCCCTATCACCACAAACACCACAAGGGTTTGCGGTGAATTCGGTGTCTCCTGCTTCACCAAAGGTGCGACCACCGCGCCTGCCATCGCCTCAGTCTTGTGACTCACTACACGTGGCTTCTGAGACTTCACAAGCCTCAGTTGTAGTTCAGCAGCAGTTGAAAGAAAGTCATAGGCATATGGAAGTGGCAATAAAAGACATGGCGCAAAAGGTTGGAATAGCGCTTCAAACAATGCAGAAGCAGTTGGATTCTTTTGTTCAGCCACCACAAAGTTCAACTATTTTTCCACGGAGGGATCATGCCACACCTGGTGTGCAACCAACTTTCTTGAGTGGGCCGCATCGGCGACCCTGGCGGCGATGGAGGTGGAGACGAAAGCAGCGATGAGTCAGAAGTTCCTAGTCGAAATGATTTAGGGTCTTTTCCCACCGAAAAGAAAGGTTTTGGTTTTGGTGATGGTCCTCCAGATGGTAGCTCTCCTGGTGGTAGCAACAGTGGTTTGAATGTGTCAAGTAGCCCTTTTGTTGGCGATGAAGATTCGGTATACAAAGCCAAAGATTTAGCGCATGTGTCCATCTCATCCTTGCCAAAGAACGCCTCAGCATTTCGGGGATGGCGTAATTCGCTCATAGCAAAGCTATCGTCCATCGATCGGACAGGTCAAGGGGTGATCATGCGTTGGGTTCAAGGGGCTTTCCTTCCTTCATCCCCACAAATCCTGCAACACCTTGAAAGTAGGTCAGATGGCTTGCCTCGGCTGGATGCTTGGCTTGCTGGCCAGCTGAGCGAACCCAAGCACATGTCTGGCGAGATAGGTATGCGTTTTCAGTCCTATCTAGAGCGTGCTCAGCTGACCTCCTCTTCTCTTCATGGCCGTAGGATGTTGCATGAAGGTCGTTTGCTTTGGATAGGATGCGTGGGTCTAATCTCACACAACAGGCTTTGCTGACTCTCGATGGCTTTGGGCAGTCAGGCTTGCAACAGTTCTATGACAGGGTTGAGTTCATCCGGGTCAAACAAGCGCACATTTGCATGGCTCTGGTGTCGTTTCGCAGAGTACCTTGATGAGTTGAAGGAAGACATCAATCAAGAGTCTGTCAAGAAGTCACTGGCATCTGCAAAGCAGAGGGATCCAAAGGATTCGAAGGATCGTAAGCAACAAGCATCCGCTCTTGCCTCGTCTCCCGCAAAGCAGGATTCAAGCATCAAGGCAGGAGCGCACACTTCACAGCCAAAGGCTGGCCCCAAGTCGCCTCCTGAGGCAAAGGAAAAGGAAAGAAAGGCAAAGGCCAGGGGGGCAAAGAGCAGGGGGGCCCAAAGGACAACCCAACAGGCAAAGCCGCAAGGAGCAAAGCTCCATGTCTCTTTTATCCCCAAGGTACATGCACTAGAGGTGACTCATGCCCATTTTCCCATGATGAGAGTTCAATGCCAAAGGCTAAAGCAGCGGCTGCAGAACCTAAAGGCAAAGCCTCGGCTCCATCTGCTAAGTCCGTCAGTGCAGCAGTCGCACTTGCTTCTCTTCCATCTGCATCCTCTTCGTTCACCTCTATCCTGTCCTCAGCCGTGCGCATGTGCGCTGCGCCGTTGAGGCTTGCCGCAAAGGTATTTGCATGTGTTGTCCCGGTCCTACACTCACACTTTGGTCTTCCTGCAGGGTCGTCGAACTCTTTCATGGTAGAGTGGATTGCAGACTCAGGTGCAGGTCGTAGTCTTGGAAGTGTTTCAGCTCTTGAGGCAATAGGAATTCCAGGTACCGTAATCAAAGAGAACTCTACCATCACCGAATTTCCTATTGAATTTGCCACTGGCTGGTACCAAAAGAGGAGAAACCACGATAGGCTATGAAGGTGACTTGTTCGGACGAACCAACGCGTACTTGCTCCCAAAGGGTTGCCCATTAGTGCGTAGTTTGGGTGAAATTGTCAAGCAGCAGGATCGGCCTTTTGTGTGGCTTCCCGGAGAGCTTCCCTTCTTTGCAACCTCACGCGATCTGTTACAAGTAGCATGCTCGATCGAGGATCGAATTGTTGCCCATAGAGTAGAAGAGAATGTGCCAGTTTTCCGGGAAACAATCAAGATTGTGCCAGGAGTCACAGCTGAAGCATCGTCCTCGTCCAAAGGGCCAGACCCAAAGCTTCCAGCGCCAGCAGAGACAAGCTCGCATGAAGCAATTGCTCATCCATCGGATGCAGACTCCGAAGGAGGTCCAGAGTGGGTTCGAGCTGAGCTCAGCAGAGCAAGGTCTATAGAACACAGACTGGCACACTTCCCGAAATCAACGCAATGTCCAGAGTGTCGAATTGCAAAATGTTACAAGAAACGTGTCAACAGGAAACGAGAGTACGAGCTATTGGAAAGAGGTCTGCCACCCGTTACTGAGTTCGGTGAAAGGGTTGCGCTGGACTTCATCGTACTTAGCAAAACAGCCGATGCGAAGACCGAGCATTATGTTCTCATGATTCGAGACGAGTGGTCTGGTTTCGCACAAGGTGTCCCAATGGCAACCCGGGAGGGAGACAAAATCCTGGGCCATCTCAAGAAGTTTTTGGGGCCAAAGGTCTCAACCCATACACTCGTTTGCAAAGCTGATGCAGCTAAAGAGTTCCAGTATGTAGCAGAACAGTTGGGAGCCTTCTATGAACCAACGCTTGAGCGCTCATGGCCACACAACGCCAGGCTGGAGCGTGACATCAGGACTTTCCAAGAGTCCGTGCGCGCGACGCACTTGGCAGCTGGCTTCTCCGCATATCCAAGTTTGTGGACTGCAACCGTGCAATATTGCTCAGTTGCGCTGGGGAGGGCATGGACTCAGCCAGATGTCGTTCCGCCTGAAGGCGAAAGAGCTCTGACTAGATTAGAGGCTGCGTCAGACAACTAATCTACTACAGAGTAAGTGATAAAACAAAGCTTAGCAAGTTCTCTGGATCCTGTTTGCCTGGGGTGTTTGCAGGTTGGCGGCTAGAAAATGGTTGTCGTTACCGTGGGGTTGTTCTTGTTTTAGATTATGAACGCCTCAGGACTAGAGCACCTGGATTTGACAATCTCATAGCTGTTCCACAAGAAGAGGTTGTATTTGACGACCACATCACCATGCCCCTGCAAACTGCGCAGCGTGAGTCCCTTGCAAGGTTCAGCGATGTGGATCCGGAGAAGATTCCACCGATCGCGCTTCCATTTTGTGGGGATGAACCGCTGGAGCTACCAGCAAAGAAAAGATCAGAGTACATCACCATAGATCGTTTGATCAAAGATGGGGGAACGGACGACTGTGCTGGGTGTGAATTGCTAAACTCAAGGCACACCCGCGCATGCCGCGATAGGTTTAATCGCCTTATTCGCGCAGACAAGCCACTGCCAGTTGCCATCAAGCACCCACCGCCAGAAGCTGAAGGTGTTGCCCTCAAAGAGTCCGAACCATCTGCGATCGCGCCAGGCGACCGGATTGGTGAAGATTCTGAAGGGATCTGTGCACCTGATAGCGATGACCTATCAGAGTATGCTCCAACAGAGCCATTGCCTGAAGAAGATGTCTCCGAAATGCATGGCATGCCATCACAAGTGCAAGCAAACGCCAAGCACCTGTCTCGGATCAGACGGCTTGAGGCTGATCTTCCAGGGATTGGGGTGATGATTGAATATGCCTGCAGCTCAAATTCTTTGTTGGGTCAGGAGTTGCCACAGTATGGTCTAAAGGTTATTCGCCTCAGCAAAGATGTGCTTGACCTGAGCAACATTGAGCACGTAGCGCAAGTAGCAAACCAGCTCAACGCACTCCACGGTGCAGATGTTTGGTTTGCTCTTCCTTGTGAACCATGGAGCAACCTGCAAGAGTTGAACCTCCACAAGCTAGGTGATTCGTTTGCTATAGACTTGTCAAAACGTCAACAAGAATCTTCCAGCATGGTAGATCTAGCATTGCAAATTGGCGAGTATGTTATCTCACACCATGGTAGGTTTGTTTGGGAGTGGCCCGCATACTGCAAAGGGTGGCGATTGCCACAACTAGAGGAGTTTCAAAGTTCAATTCCATGGTTGCATGTTGAGCATGCGAGGAAAACAAAACAAATTAATCAAGAAGCCTTGGGTTCTTGCAACCAATGATAGACGACTGGTTGAGATGTTTGCCGAAATGCAGTGCAACCATACACCTGACATGCATGAACCATGTGAGGGCGGCAATGCTGCTACAACTGCATACTACTCGCTTCCATTTGTGAATCTCGTGGCTGAGGCACTTTACCCTAGATGGTCCTATTCCATGAAGGTGTCTGCCCTGAATAGTCCATGCAAACAAGAAGAGACCGTTTTCAATACAGAAACATTGGAAGTTGAGGTTTTTGTGCTTGTGACAAAAGCTTTGAGCCGTTCTGAGTGGATCAACAATCCTTTGGCCCTGGATGCCATCGCCAAAGAGTGTGGCGGTCTTCGCGACAACTGCACGTGGGATGACTCCACTGCCTGTGATTTGGATATCAGGCAAGAGAACTCAAACAGAACATCAAGGTTGCTGAGCTTATGGTCTTGTGTGGTGTCAAACACATTGAATTGCACGAGTCCAAGCACCGCTACAAAGGGCGAATCGTATATAGAGGCGACCAGGTGCGCGCCCAACATGGAGACATTGTTCTGTGCACAGAAGTATCCACCTCTCCCACAACAATGACAGCATTAAATCTTTGTTTGTGGTGGGGTTCTGTGGAAGGTCACGCAATTTCGACAGCTGACGCTATCCAGGCATTTTTGCAAAGCTATTTGCCAGAAGATGAGCTCACATATGTCGTCTTGCCAAGACAACTGTGGCTCCGAGAATGGAGCAATCGTTTCCAAGGAAAAGTGGCCGTAAGGTTAAGAAAATCGCTCTATGGACATCCCCAAGCGGGACGGCTATGGCGCCCGAATTCATGAACTTCACGGAATCCCAGTAGAAGGTTTCGCGAGCAACTATGTGTTTCATGTGCAGGGTCATACTCTATTACTCAATGTGTACGTAGACGATCTAACTTTGTCAGGAGCTGCTCACTTGCACACGTCATTTTGGCAACAATTTCAGGCCAAAATCAAGGTTGAAGAACCTCAGATGCTCAAGTCCGATGCCCCAGCGCACATCCTAGGCAGGCTGCACTGCCTGGAAGGCCCAGGAACGTTGAGTCTGAAGATGGATGGCTATGCACGACAGTTTGTTGATCTGTATGTTGAAATCACTGGTGTTGATACCAAAACGTTTCGAAAGTAGCCACGCCACATATCACTGATGCTTCTCTTTCAGATGTCTTCTTTGAACAGCCTGGAAGATTGCAGAGTCAAGCATCTAGAGTGCTTATGAAAGGGCTATGGCTTTCACGTCTTTGTAGACCAGACATAAGTTTTGCTGTAGGCAGGCTTGCCAGTAGGATCACAGTCTGGTCAAGGGCAGAAGATGTTCATCTTCATCGGTTGGTGTCATACGTGTTTCATACCATGGATCATCACATGCTCTGTCAGGCTGGTTCGCTTAAAGACACGGAATTACATGTCTTTGCAGACGCAGATTTGGCGTCGTGTGTGCATACTGCGCGAAGCACATCTGGCATGATAGTTATGTTGATTTCAGGCTCATCACGATGGCCTCTCATATGGAACTCCCGGCGACAGACATCTGTTGCCAGAAGCACAACAGAAGCAGAAGTAATAGCAATGGCGTCTGCCATTTATGGGGAAGCACAGCCCTTGCGAGACTTTTTGGGTTTGTTGCTGCAGCGCGAAATCACGACCCGGTTGCTGGAAGACAATTCTGCAACTTTGTCATTGTTGCAGCGGGGCTATTCTGTTCGATTAAGACATGCAAGTCGTACGCGTCGAATAAATTTAGCGTCGCTTGCTGAAACGATTGAGCAAGGAATGTTGCCCGAGCTGACTGCAACTCACCTCCAAGCTGCAGATGGCCTAACTAAGGTCAATCCACCCATAGATTGGGAACGCGTCTTGCAACTCTTGTGCATCAGGCCGAGTAGGTGATTTTCCTTCCTATCATGACTTGATAAGCTGTCACCTCCGAAAGAGGGGGGAGTTGATCATGTAAAGAGTACATTCGTCACGACAGCTTTATAGGATTACGACGCGAAAACACTTGGCTCAAGTTGGAAAACAGGCGCCCGTGCTGTACTTGTTGTTCAGCTGCCTTTTCCCACTATAATAACTATTTTGACTCAAACTCGCATTCTGAAGTATCGTGCAATTTTGTGGAAACCATGATGAACAATGGCGGCGACATCACCATGGAAAACGCACTGAGTGCGACCAATGCATTCTTGCTACATCAGCTGAAGAAACCCAACATCGTAGACCTTCCTCGTGGCTTCCGGGCCTGGCGATATCTCAAAGATCGGATTGCCTTGAGCCAGAACTGCACAGCTGGTTCGAAGCGCCTTCGCTCCAAATTGCGAGCGGCGCAGTACCTACTGTACTGGTATAGACAGAAAGACCTTCGGGAAGCGACCGGAGAGCTGTGCACTTGGGAAATGATAAATTTCCTAAGAACAGCGTAGTGTACTTTGATCGCTGATGAGATCTGCAAGGCAAAATGAGCTGTTTGTGCCAATGCATCCAAAGGCTTCATCTACCACTATCACATGGCTTGTTGTACATCTGCTTGGCCATCAAGAACAAACCTGCTTTCAATACATCTGCTTTATCATCAAGGACAACTCTCACATACAAGCAAGAAATTTGTCTGAAACCGATGGTTTTGGGGGGGGGTTAGCATACACTTATATATATATATATATATTGTATCATTATACATAATCGGAAGGTTGGCACTCGAGTAGATGAGAGATTGCCTGACTTGCAGGCCTGCAAAGGTTCAGAAAGAGCCGCAGACTGCTGGAGCGGGCCAAAAAAGAGACAGCCAGGCCGAGGGCTTTCAACATGGGTGGAGCAGGCCAAACATTTTCAAGCGGAGTATGTTGGTAAAAGATGCTTCAGTTGCCTTCACTTGAATGAAGGTCCACCAGCCGAAACACGCAAGATTATTTGCAGCAAGTTTCTCACACAGGTGCTTTTTGAACCAGTTCGAAGCCTTTTGGGATGGCATGTGCCCCGGCTAAATAAATGTGGAGGCTAATATCATTTCGCCAGACCTGGCCGGCAGGGGTGTTTGCTTGTCCTTGAACGCCCGTGGCGAGCCTCAAGGTACAAAAACTCACTCCAAACGCAAGACTTTCAACGCAGCCTGGCAGATTCGGTTTTTCTCAGCTCTTTGCCTGAGATGCTTCTGTAGTTTTTGACTTCGGAGAGAGCACCTGAGGACTTGAAGCAGCGCTACAGGTTCCTAGAGTGGTGGAAGATGCATTGGTGCTGTGTTTGACTGGAAGATTCCAGCAAGATTTGACCAAGTCCCTGGAGGACTGGAAGATTTGAAATGTGTTCCCAGGTCCCCGGATACATGAGAGACTTGGAGGGGAGAGACGGACAGAGAGAAGCGGAGAACGGAGTGTTTTTTTTTGGGGGGGTAGGCCAAGGTAGGTTAGCTAGGTAGGTAGCTAGCTAGTAGAAAAGGTAGCTAGTAGCTACAAGTAAGCTACTACTTATGGACCAAGGAAGCTCGCACTAATGATTTGGTTCCTACTATAGACTTCTTTACATTGAGAGTTGCACCATGCAGCTGAACCTTTCCTTCGGCTCAGGAGCTTCACCCACTTCTTTCTCTCAAAGATTTGCCCAAGAAGCGTCCAAAAGATCTGGCCAATCTGCTGCACCGCCAGTGGCATGGAGAGCTGACACAGAGCCAAAAGAATTCAAGACTAATAGCGACGGCCTCCAACCTAATAGCAATGGCCTCCAACCTAATAGCGACGGCCTTTAAGCTAATCGCGATGGCCTCCAACCTAATAGCGATGGCCTCCAACCTAATAGCGGCGGCC